GCCCCGCGCTCGGAGCGAAGCCCGGGCGCTGCCCCGCGCTCGGAGCGAAGCCCGGGCGCTGCGGCCCCGCGCCTTGTGCCGCACGGGCACAGCGGCTCGGCTCTCGGCCCTCAGAACACTTATTCTGCTCTGTTGCTGGCAATAAGTTATTAAAAATGAAAAATTGTAAGCCCGGTTTCCTTTTCATAATCTGTGCTGTGTTAATTATTTTATTTCTGATCCTTAGTAACTTGCACATAGGCTCAGGAGCAGCATTCTTGACGAGTTCTTTAAAGAACTGCAAGTGACAGTCTTGGCTAAGGTTTGAGTGACTGCAGCACAAAACTAAACTGTAATATTTCTAAAAAGTTTCTTTCAGATAATATTTGAAGTGTACTGGTGGGCAACATCACTGTGAAAGTAACTCACAGTACAAACTGATCAGGTTGGAGTTGTGTTTTGTTGGAGTTGTTAATGTTGGCCTTTTTTTTTAAAGTAGTGTTTTGGAAAGATTTATTAAAATGTCAGACATTGCATTCTGCCAGTAGTCTTTACATTTTATCTAGGAATGCAGTTAAAGATACTTTATAGTAAAACTCTACGGAAACTTTTTGTCTGTGCAAAAGCAGTTCAAAAGGAACGGGTATAGAATAAACCTGGAACAGCCTCAGTTTTGAACTCCACTGGAACAGCTCAGAGCAAAGCCAATGATCTCTTACCAGTGCCTTACACAAAGCCTTTTGCTCGGGTCCCTCCCAGCCTCAGGCGTGTTTTGCTGTGGCTGGTGGAGTTCTGGCCAGCAATACCCGCTCTGATCCTTTGAGGAACACTCAGGGAGTGTTACAGTTTAAACTGTTACCTTATCCTGCTTGTATCTGTCACTGTTTCCTAAATCCCAGGCTCTGTGGCCTGTGTGTGAGGAGCCTTTCACAGTGTAGGCTTTGCTCCTTGATACAGAAGCCATAAAGGTTCCTCAGGTTAAGCTTGCACCTCGCAGTTACTGATGCGTACTAATGCACTTTTTCCTTCTCCAAAATTCTCCATGTGTTCACTGACTTCGTGCATAACGAGATGGAACTCGTTGGACACTGTAAATCAATAGATTAATAGGAAATAGTAATATCTGTGAGCACCTGTGGCCTCAGAAGAACAAGACAGCAAGAACCAACAACAAATTTCTGTCATTGATCTCTTTTCTAATCAAAAATAAAGTATTTATGCCAACAAGGAGAAGGGCTTGAAGAGGAACACAACCTCTGAATAAACGTGATGGTGTTTGTGGTGTTCTTTATTTGAGAATCAAGTAGAATAACAGCTAAAATAGTGCAGGGAGTTCTTCAGATAAGAGACTGAGAACTACTGTATAGATGCTTTGCTTTACAGAGCACGACTGAAATTTGTTCTTTGTTCATATCTTAGATTTTCAACAGCTGGTGCTGAGGCAATTTCTAATAACGCCAGTAAAAAAGGTTGAGTAGTCTAAATTCTAACAAGCTGCTCAGGTTGGAATTTAGATTTCCCCTTCAGTGTGAGCTCAGTAACACAAGTGCCTTGTTCTGCCCTGGGCTGGCACATCGAGGCTGGGATGGAGTTAACTCGAGTTACTCTGGCTCCAGGCCACAGGCTGAGCCCAGGTGAGTGGCACCAGACCCAGCTGCAGGGCCAAATGGGTGAGAGAAACTTAGGTTGTTTGGTTCAGGGGAGCATGGTCTGTGTCACAGCTGAAATGTCATAAATTGTGTATGTGGTCAGCAAATACAGCTGAGCTGCAAGCTAACACCCTCACCAAATCCTGTGAATTCGTTGTAGCAAATGTGCACTTGTGGGTCTCTTTCAAAATGCTGTTAAAATGTTCTTAAAACCTAGTCAAAGACCTGGCTGCAATGGTGACATGTTTTCATTTCACCCAGTTTTTCAATGAGCTGAATGCAGGGAGAATTGTAAGGGAAAGACATTTTTAATTATACCTTTAAAACATTGGGATTTTTCTATGGTGAAATATCCATAATGCCCAACACTTCAAAGAATGAGATTTCACCAAGGTCAGCGTGCAGTCCCCTGAAATCCAGCATTGAGGTAGCAAACCCTGCAGTAAATCTACCAACAGCTTGGAAGTATATCTACAAATGTGAAGGAAAATAGACATTTTCTGTGCCTAAGTGACAAAACTGCTGATTGAGCGCGTGATTTTTGGTTTTGTGATCTGTTTGAAGATACACTGTGTCCTTGGGCTGGAGTGTAACCCCCTGGTTGTGCTGTCTTGCAGATAACTTCCTCCTCAGCGATGAAGTCATAGCCAATGGCTTTCACTCCTGTGACAGTGATGAAGAAGACAGAGCCTCACACGCAAGTTCCAGTGACTGGACCCCAAGACCACGTATAGGTAGAAGCCTGGAGCATGTTCTTGGATGCTCTTTGCCTTTGAACAGTCACTTAATCCTCCCCAGTATTCAAATTATTTTTCCTGTTGCAAAAATATTGGCAATTAGTGCTTCTGAACAGCTTAGAGGTGTTGGCTGTATTCTGTATGTTATTTAAGGAGTTTAAAAATGAATCCCTTTAAACTTGCTGTATTTTGATTTAAGATTGTCAATGTCTTACTTTTTTCTTGAATAGAAATCCTGCCACAATCCCTATTAAAAGCATACACACAGGTTCACTAAATTAGACTAATTTATGGCATATTTCTATAGCCTGCCTAGTTAGTATTAATTCTTTAAGGAGCAAGAAGGTGTGATTTTAGGACAGCAAGCCCTCATCTCGAGTGTTTCTGGAAAGATTGATTTAATGGCTTGAGGAGGTAATGTCTGAAATAATTCATGTTAGATGACCAAAAAACCAACAAAAATCCCTGGATTTCTGGGCTCTGTGTCTGTTTCGAGTGATGGTTTATAATACCACTTGAAAGTATATGTATATTTGTTGTTTGGTTTTGTTTGTTTTCAGCTTATTCCTGTAAATACCAAATGTACAGTACAGACGGAGACACTGTGAAAATCCTGTTGCACCTCTAAAAGAGGTTAAGTTTGCTGTGAACTGGGATTTTTACTTGACTGACTTTCTATGAAATCCTTCATGGGTTAACATAAAATAATGATAAATAAATAAAATGCCCAGCTCTCACTTCAGAGTTTAGATCAAAATACAGGGGGTTTGATGAATGGAGCATTAAATTGGATTAATGAAACTGTACTAGTAAGCGTTAATAAATGGAACAATAACCATGATCATCTGCAGTACCTGACTCTGTTTCAAATATCTGTATTTTTAAATTTTCTTAGGTCCCTACACTTTTGTTCAGCAGCATCTCATGTTGGGTACAGACCCACGGACGATTCTGAAGGACCTGCTACCAGAAACAATCCCCCCACCTGAACTGGATGACATGACTCTGTGGCAAATAGTGATCAACATCCTTTCAGAGCCACCAAAAAGGAAGAAGAGGAAAGATATTAACAGCATCGATGATGCTGTGAAACTTTTGCAGGAGTGCAAGAAGATCATGGTCTTGACTGGAGCTGGGGTAGGTATTGCTGCAATGTCAGTGTGAAAATGTGGAGCCAGGTTGGTTCAGTGCTTCAGTACAGCATGCAGGGATGGGAGCAAGTCACTGTGCTGGGGGAAGAGTTCAGCCCACTGCAGCTTCCACTGGGCATTACACCAACTCTCTTCTCAGAACAAAATATTCTTAGACACAGAAACGTGTAAACAGCTGCTCCCATGCAGAACAGTTATGGAATAAGAACACGTCACCTGTCCAGAACTTTTTCTATCCTAGTCTTCAGACAAAAGAGATGGCTTTTTAAATCAAAATCTCAGCGGATCTCTTAAAATCTTAAAATGGAGCTTGAGGGACTAGAAGAATAGGATTTGAAAAGAGTTGGGGGGCAGAGGAGGAGGATGATGATAAGGACAGTTTGATCAGATTTCAGCAGACTGAATGTTACTTTCAGCACATGGTGCTCTGTGATGGTGATAAAGTTACTCACTGTTTGACTGAAGAACATTTCTGAACTGCTGCACATTTGCAGCTCTGTACCTGTGCACCAGATCATTTCTTGCTTCTGTTGTTCACACACAGATGGTGTGACAGGATTCAGAGCAGATGAGTAATTAAAATTACCTTTTAGAAGAGCGCTGCTACTCCCAGTCTTGCTCTTTCCATACTTGCATGCACCTGTTTCCCCTCCTCTTCCTATGCTGTTTTGGGGTAGTCTGAAACAATGATTTCAGTCCTTATTGACTACTACAATGCTTTGATAAGCAATGTTTATCAATAAACAACTTTTATCAAAAGAGGTTTATTGTTCAGAAGTAAGAATATATTTTTTTAAAGCAAGACTATTCTGTTAGTCTGTTAGCATGTTAAAAAAAAATTAAATATCAACCATCATATCTAAGCCTGAGTTGGCAGATCAGTGAACAATTAATAATTCAATATAATGCAGTAATGCTCTAAATTTTTGTTCACATCTTACAAAGCTTCCAGTGGTAAAACCAAGTTCTGATATCCTGTTATTACTTGTGCACACTGTACTAAAGGGATTTTTGTCCACTTGTCAGATTTTGTTTTGTTTCTGTGCTGTTTCTCCTGATTGTGATTTGGGAATTGTTATATTGGACCAAAAAAAAAAAAAAAGGAAAAGAAAAAGAAAAATAAATACAGAGAACCCAGACTGGTTTTGTTCTTAATGTTTCTGAGCACTGAGCATACAGAAATGTGGTTTCCCAGAGCAACACTTTATAGTCCAATATGTAGTTTCACTTATTTCAGATTGCAAAAATATATTTCAGGTGTCAGTGTCTTGTGGAATACCTGACTTTAGATCCAGAGATGGCATCTATGCACGCCTGGCTGTAGACTTCCCAGACCTTCCAGATCCTCAAGCAATGTTTGATATAGAATACTTCAGAAAGGATCCCAGGCCGTTTTTTAAGTTTGCAAAGGTATGGTTTTCCAACAGTTCTTGTCTTGGTCAGTAAAGACAGATGA